GCTGGCGCCCCGTGACGTCATCCTCTGAGGGCCCCGACATCACCGCGGGATCGAGAGGGAGGAGGTGCTCGGGGGGCCTCTGACGGGAGTCGGGAGCGAGTTGGCCGATGACCGACTCGCGTTGGAGCACGGAACTCTCCCCGAAAGCAACTTTCAAAGGGGCTCTCGTGAGCGTCCTCTCTCGCAGTGATGATGAAGCGAAGCTAGTGACGGGGCACACCTGTCCGGCTCGTGTATCGATCTGGTCGTCCTGCAAGTAGACCCAAATGCGCCAATGCACGAGCACCGTGCCTCGTGCAGCTCTTTAAAGCCAATGGTGGTGCATAGGGAGGACTCACTGGCGGCTGCTGAGCGCGTGCCGATGGAGAGCTTCCACAGCTGTTTTGCAACGTGCATTCCACACCATCGACATTGCCGGTCTTAGCAACCTATTAATGTGAGCTCGTTCTGAGCATGCGCTCTAAGCAGTACTCGCCGCGCCTGCCCGTTCCGATCTGGATGAGCATAGCACCGTCGTGCGGTCGTGTATCACTACTGCGTGGCGCACATTAAGGAGGTCATGAAACGATATCGGGTTGGAATGTTTATAACTTTACAGAGGCGCACTGGACCCAGTCTCGCCCAGGTAAACTCGCACGGACCGCCACTGATTCAGAGGCTTCTTAATCGCGATGAAATTGCGACGATAAAAAGGGACTATTTCTTTCACTCTTGCCTTCGCAAAGCATGATGACGTAATTGTGGGATCGAAACCACCCGCCTGACGACAGTCGAGCGCGGCTCATGAATAGACAAATCTCACCAAGCGTTCGGCGCATGCGTGACGTCGCCATAGCTTTAGTTCACGGGAGTACGTGCAGAAAGACTAAAGTTCCCTCGATGCATTGCGGCTGCGGTGGCGTAGTTAAACTGGCTGGTGAGATCGGTCTACTGGAGACGAGAACTGCGTGAGCACTCGACTTCGGCTCGTACCAATAAATTCATTGGCGGACACTAGAGCCACTCTATATGGCAGCGTAGCTGCCAGAGTAGCGACACGACGCAAAATTATCTAGATGCACGACGTCAGAAGCGCTGATGGTGATCTCCATTTTGGGCCTGGGAGGCTGCCATGGTAACCGTGCTTCTAGCGACGCCGGGCGGCAACCTTTGTAGTCTAGTTGATATATCCATTCGTTCATTGAAAAGTGGTATAAGACGCTTGGCATCGCGGTACGGCAAGAACCTCTGGAGGAATGGTGCCTGTTTTTTTTTTCTGAAAAGTGAGACGATTTGCAGCCCGGGGACTGTCGGGCGACGAGTGCTGCTATGGTATCGTACCTGCACGGACAAGGCGAGTGGGTTTCGGCGCCGCAGGGATGGGGGCCGCTTTGTGGGACGAACGTACCGTCCTAGTACTTTCGGGCTTCGCTCCGATGGATCAAAATACGATTACGCCGGCCACGACAGGACGATTGGCTCGGGACATGACTGCTGCTCGACTGCCCCGTAGTGAGCGAGTACATGTTTAGCATCATATACTTCTTCAAGACCCAATCATCCCTTCAAGATGAGATTTTCTCACCGACTGGTGAGGAGCGACGTCGACGGGGTTCAACCAAGGAAGGAAGGCATGGTGGTCTCTAGGGAATCGTTGACGCCATCAAAAGAGACGGACGCCGGATATGAAATGTTCTTGCCGACAGGCTAAATGGTCGTTCGGAAGTTTACCGGCATTCAAAAAGTCAATATTTTTATCTGGTGTAGCACACATATCCATGTTAAAGGGGCCACGAAATTATTTTTAAACTTCTTCTTCCTTAACTGTAATCCTCAACTCAAAAGAGAACTATGAAATCACGCAGTCGTGACATGGTAGGGCACCGGTGCGATGACCCTAAGCTTTCACCGTGATTTTTAAGCACACCGTATAACTTGGCATTCGCAAGTGATGATAAGTTTTGTCAGGACACTCATTGGCCAGAAAAGCGAATTCAAATATCCATGGACGAATTGATTGCTGACGAGCGCATACATCCGAGTGAGGCAGTTTTTGTGTCCAATGCGTGAGTTGGGGTCGGCTGACGTCATTTCGGTCTTTGTAGGCATTGTAAAGAGGATATTTGGAGCCAAGCACACTGACATTTAGGAGCACAAAACGGGACCAGCTACAGAACATAAATACTACACTCGTAAGTAATAAATACGTCTGTAACATGTTAATTACAACGACGAACACACCTCTGAGCATCTAAGCTTAATAGTGTGTGTTGATGCACTGTTATATAGCAGGACATTTCATATACGTCACTTGAGCAAACGCCAGTTTTTCACTTGAAAAACAAACAAAAAAAAACTACGATCCAATGCAAGCTATTGCAACGAAAGCAAGTTATATCAAAATATTCAAAACTGCCAATTCGTAAAATTGGCGATTAGTAAAAAAGGTTAAAGATCGCAGGAGCTTCCTCGCTAAGAATTGCTGTGATTATTCGGTGACCCAGGGCTAAAACAATTTCCCCTAGGCCCTACACGTGCCGTATACCTTTCGTTATGATTCTCAGAAATTAAGACTTTCAAAGGAAGCTCGAAAAATGCGAAAATTTTATCCTAAAAGCTATGTGGAGCGCAAGTTCGTCTGCTTCTTTTTGCAGGGATGTGGTGACGTCAGAACGCCGAGATCTGAGTGACTCCGATTGAAGGATAGTGGGTAGACCTGGGGTGCCTCAATGTCCTTCTGTTTAGGGTGATGCCACCCTTTGTAGTACCCGATGCCGACAGCACGCGCTCACGGGGAAAATACGAAGAAATCGACGAAAACAAAATGTCGCCATAGCACAGTCAGCGCCACAGACGCGTGCAGGGACACGCGCTTTCACGCGCTTCTGAACAAAAAATAAAAATAAAAGTGTGGGACAAAATGGCCAGATGTCTCCACCCTAAGCAAAGCGCACATGAAGGCACCCTAGGTAGACCTAAAAGCAAGCTGCCTTGAGGCCTACCCACTATTCTGTATTCAGAACCAACCAGAGCTCGGCGTTCTGACGTCACCACAACCCCTACTAAAACAAGCAGACAAACTTGCGCTGCGCATATCGTAAAATCGTTGATTAGTATATTTGGGAGCTGTGTTAATATTTATACAGCGTGTAGTTGGTCAGCCATCTCAAAGTTGCGACGAGTCACTCGCTGTAGATGAGCAATTTAGCCAATGCTGTATAACCGCTAGCCTGGGGTCTATAGGTCTTTAACGTGCACCACGCAGTAGTGATACACAACCGCAGGCCGGTACGATGCTCATCCAAATCGAAACGGGCACGGGTGGTGATTGAACCCAGGTTCCCTCGTTGATTAGTACAAAACGTAAGCATCGCACGAGGTTCCTCGCTAGAAGTTTGTGATCATGCGGTTACCTGGGGCAAAAACAAATTCCCCAAGGCCCAACATGCGACGCATAAATTTCGCATCGATTCTCAGACTCTCCAACGTTCAAATAGAGCTAAGAGAATGCGAAAATTGCATGCTAAATGTCTTATCGATCCTCAAACACATCCGGAAACCCGAGCACCGCTAAGGCGATATTGCTGATGCTGTCGCACAGGTGCTAATATACAGAGCGATCTTGCACAGAAAGGGTATAAAGTATCATTCTTTCAGATCTTCACGTTATACGTACGTCAGAAAGCACGAAGAAGCCCTAAATCGTCGGCAAGCTGCGGCACATCACGACTCCGCGCACCGAACAAACTCGCATCCACCAGCTCTGGGCGCTGCCATCTTAGCGATGACATCACGGCTCTTGAGAGGTCACGTGACGAGTCGTCACTCGGTTGCTACGGAAACCGAGCCAGCTCAGCTCGTTGCTATGGTACCTCGTGTGACCAATCGCGGTGAGAGGCGGCACAGGGAAAAGCGTGGCGCTACTCTGGCAGCTTCGCTGCCACATAGAGTGGCTCTAGCGGACACTCGGGTAGTAGCTCGTGTCCATCCTGCGGTGATGAGAATAGCAGAACTCTAGCAACGCCTGGAGCTCATCACACGTTTTCTACTTTGCCGACCCCAGCGCGTTGCTATGATTAACGATAGTATACGCACTAGGCCACGTGGCCGCTTGTTCTGGCTCCGAGTTAAGGGGATGAAAGATGCTCATATTTCTCGAATTTATTTGCCGATTTCCATTGCTTAGAAAGAATATCTAAGGGAAGTTTATTCAGTTATTAACATTAGGGAGTGATTCTGAAGAGCATTTAGCGCAAGTAGAAAAATCGTTTCATGGCCCCTTTAAAGAGCTCAGGCTAGCGGCCGTACTGCACTGGCTAAGTTGTTCATGTACAGCTGAGACACCGAACGCCCATTGAGGCAGACTAACTTCCGGCTATCTAAGCATACGTACAACCATAGCCTCCTCTATACTCGCAAAGCCTGGCAGTTCGACGACGGAGACATAGAGTGGCCGGTCGCAGATTTGGAGTGCGAGGATCTGGTAGCACAGAGCATTTCTCGGGGAACCTGGACGTCAGCGCACAGCTTTTGCAGCGGCGAAGACCCGAAACAGGGTTTTCAAATTCGACGAGAAAAGAAGCTTTTCCGCTCATTCACACTGGAAGCGAATCCGCGTTCGCAAAACGGTTGCAAACGCGATTGTATTAGCGGCGAGATGTTTTGGTGGCGCCTTCCCACGGTTCCCCCTGTGACGTCATTGCCTTGCAAACAACAAGTTCGATGGTGTTTGTAAATAGCATGGTGGAAGCTTGAAATCATTGCGCTCTCAAAGGAACACTACCAACACCGTCAACATTAAAGTTCTTTCATTCCTCTTATTTCCGTCGATGATAAATCCTTTTCTGGATGGAGGAAGACGAAGCTACCCAAGCTACCAGACGTGTTTTTCTAAGCTCCGCTAAGTCTTCGGTAAACCTGAAGGTTTAATCACTTTGACGGACGGGACCGAGCCACTTGCTTCGGGCCTTCGCTCCAGGGCCAGGAACGAAGACCACGGTGAGGACCTGAAAGTCGGACAAGATGAAAGACATCTTTCTAAGCCCCCGAGGAATTCCTTAGGCCTTAGTGGAACACAATCGGGAGACACCAACGAGACGACTCTCCGTTTACGTGGCGGACTTCGTGGCGCCGCCAAGTGCTGCGAGCAGCCACCCAAGGCAGCAGATCGGCAGAAATGACCCAAGCAAGTCACTTCGGTCCGAGTGGATTCAACACAGAACAATACAAAATAATCAGCGCGACAGGCGAAACGTTTTACAATTGGGATACGTTACTGAATGACTTTGGAGCCCAAGTTAAGGCTTCGGTGGAATCTCAGATGAAGGCGCAAATGGAAGCACAACAAGCTCAGTTTCAAGCTCGGATTGAGTTACAACTGAAAGCCCAGGAAACTCAGCTTAGAACGCAGTTCGAAAAAGAAATGAGGGAACGACTCGACCCACACAAGACAGACAGAAAAAGGCCAAGGACGGAGGAACTCCAGCACGTAGACGAAACAGTGGCCCTAACAGAGCCACCCATGGAGCCGGACAACGAACAAGACGAAGAAAAGGAAGGACAATGGATAGAGGTCCGCCGCAGGAACAACGCAGGCGTGCGCAAGGTCAGAATCAAGAACGACAAGCCTAACACGAAGCTGGACATAGATCACCGAACTTTCAACCAGACCATGAAGAAAGCGGGAATCTCGCTTGAAAATGGAGCAAGAGCAAGGATTGACCCGAGAACCAACGACTACATTGTCACCACAAAGAACGAGGTGGAATATGAAAGGCTTTGTAACCTGAAGAAGTTTACGAATGAAAGAGGCGAAAGCACGGAAATCAAAGTGATACCAGGCCTCGCAAGCAACCACTCGAGAGGGGTCATATACCTGAGAAACCCGGGAAACGATATGGAAGCCCTCTGCGAAGAAATCATATGCAAGACGCATCAGGTCATTTCAGCGACCATAATTGGCAAGAAAAGAACAACAGTCCTATTAACGTTTGAAGGGAAGGAACCACCAAAGAAGCTAGCGGTTGGACTTATAATTCAAAAAGTCTTCCCATACACGCCAAGGCCGGTAGTCTGCTACCGTTGCCATAGAATCGGCCACAAGGCCGAAACATGCACAAGCAAGGTAGAAGTATGTAAGACGTGCGGAAAACCCCACCCAAACGGGCTAGACGCGCCATGTGGAGGGGACCCCACATGCGTGAACTGCAAGGGGAGACACCTGGCGCTCAGCAGGGATTGCCCGATGAGAGTCCCGCGGAAGGACGGCAAACCCACCTACATGCAAAACACTGAACAGAAAGGAAAAAGCGCAACTCCCACGGAAACGGAAAAACCAGCGAACAGTGCTGAAAAGAAGACATACGCAGCTGCAGCAAGAAAGAAACCTGTTGGGGAAATCAAAGACCCTCTCATAGCATTATTGCGGCAACTCACCAAGCTTCTCTCAGACGAATATGGAACCTGAGCTAAGAGACATAGCCCCAAAAAGAATGTATTGGATACTACAATGGAACTGCAGAGGAATTAAAGGTAAAATTAACGAACTCAAAACCAGAATAGAGACATGGGGAGACAAGAGCCCCGACATTCTTCTCCTGCAAGAAACGAGGCATGCTAACCTGAAGGTCAGGGGCTACAACACATATCTGAACAGGACGGTAATCACCAACACGAGCAAGCAGGAAAAAGAGGGGGTCGCCGTACTACTAATCAAGGAGACACACCCTCAAAGCCAAATTAACACGGATTTTGCTTGCAATGAGGACGAAGAATTGGTAGGAGCCACAACCACAATCGGTAAAAAAACCTACTCTTTCTTCTCCTTTTACCAGAAGCCGGGGAAAGGAGATGAACACTACAGATGGATTAAACGGATACAGAACATAACCCAGCATAAGAGCATTGTTGGGGGAGACTTCAATGCAGAACACAGCGTATGGGGAAACCAAGACAACAGAAAAGGGATGAACCTGCTTCACCAAATGCACGGGAACTCCTTCGAATGCCTCAACAAGCCAGGAGGAAACACACGATTAGGGAACAAGAACCAGAAGGACACAACCCCGGACAGCTCCTGGACGAGGGGGGTACCCGAAGTCGACTGGGAGGCCCACGACGATACATGGGGTAGCGACCATGTTCCAATAATCATCACTCTTCACAGAAAGACCAGAGAGAAACGAACGGCCCGGGTCACCAATTGGGACAAGTTCAGAGAGATCTTGAAGAAGAAGATTCAAGTAGAAGGCCCAACAGATATAGAGAAACACATAAAGAAAGCCGCACAAGAAGCCACCACGACAACGCAGGTGGACGCAGACGCCCCTAACCCGGACCACCATTTGACAAATCTCCAAGAAGCGAGACACAAGGCACTGCTGAGGTACAGAAGGAAGAAGACAGACACCAGCAGGAGAATAATCCTTAACAGAGCCACACAAGAGGTGACGGCTTACACAAGAAAACTGAGAAAGCAGACATGGATACAGCACTGCGAAGGGTTTAACGACCGCACCGGCGTCAAGAAGCTCTGGAACACATATAGAGCCATGCTGGGGAAGAAAAAGGAAAAGAACACGGGTCGCAACCTCGCACTGAAACTAAACATGTCGGAAGAAGAGCTGGCGCAAAAGCTCGGAGAGACCTTCTTCCCACAACCCGACGACTGGACACCTCTTCTAATAGAACACACGGAAGAAAGAAAAGAACAAGACGTCAAGTTCAGTATAGAAGAGCTAAACTACGCCATCAGTAGGGCGAAAAAGGGCACTGCACCCGGGGAGGATGGCGTTACGCCTGCCATGTTGAAGAACTTACCGGATGAGGGAAAACATGCTCTCCTTGACCACTACAACAGGATATGGGAAGAACACACACTACCACAGGGTTGGAAGCATTCAACGGTCATCCCAATTCCAAAACCAAACAAGCCCAAAGATAAGATGGCGAATCTTAGACCAATCTCGCTAACTTCGAACATATGTAAGACTATGGAAAGAATGGTTCTGGAAAGAATAAACTGGACACTAGAAAGCAGAAACAGCCTACACCCGATGCAGACAGGGTTCAGAAAAGGGTTGTGCACACAAGATAGCCTAGCAATGCTTCACCACGACCTGACAAGCAGAAAGGTTACCAAAGTACCAAAATTCCTAGTGGCCGTCGACATCAGGAAAGCGTTCGACTCAATCCCACACAAATCTGTCATAGCCAGCGCGAAAGAAAATGGAATCGAAGGCAACATGCTCCGCTTCATTCAAGATTTCCTCGAAGAACGCACATATAAAGTTAAGGTAGGGGAAACAGAGGGACTGATTCAATACAATAGGATAGGAGTCCCCCAAGGAGCAATACTCTCTCCGACCCTATTCAACATAACGATGACTGCACTGGCAAAAAAACTAGAAAAGATCCCAAACTTATCATTCACAATTTACGCAGACGATGTAACAATATGGACCAAGGGAGGGCAGACTGGAAAACAAGTCAAGGCGATTAAAGAGGCACTGAGAGCAATAGACGACTTCGCAGAAGAAGTCGGGCTACAAGTTGCTCCAGAGAAGACAGCCTTGGTCATCATCGCGACACCAGAAGGAAGGAAGGCAACAGCAAGCAAACACAAGTTCACCTCCGCAGGAAGACAGCTAGAACCAACCAGCTCGACAAAAATCCTCGGCATGAACATCAGCCAAGACGGAAAAGCGAAGGAGTGGCTAGAAGGTCTACGAAAAAGCTGGACACATATCCTTGGAATCATCAGAAGAACGGCTACAAAATCATGGGGTGCCAACGAAAATACACTAAGAACGTTAATACATGCCTTCTTAGTGTCTAAGGCAATCTACGGGTACAACTACGCCACACTCACTAAGACACAACAGGAGAAAATCAAATGCCTGATGAGGAAAGCCCAAAGAGTCGTAACGGGCCTCCCGAACCACGCAAGATTAGAAGAGGTCAGGAAATGGGCGCTCCTCAACGACATCGAGGACATTGCCCGGGAAGGCGCTGTTTCGCAAATAATAAGGCTTCACGGAACAAAAGCAGGGAGGGTCATCCTAACCAAGCTTAGAAAAATCAACCTGCAGATGGAGGAGCCCGAGGAACCCCTACCACCGTGGGAAACCTCTTTGCCACAAGAAGGAAAACCGCCGCCCAACGCAGGGAGGGAAACAGCAAGCACGAGGCACCAAAATAGGATTCAAGCGCTTATGGACCCAAACAAGGAAGTGATATACACTGACGCAACTGTTACAAGGGAGAATCGTGCAGCCTGTGCTTGGTATAACATCACCACGGAGAAAACAGGCAGAGCAATTCTGCCTGAAAAGACAACCGTCAGAGACGCAGAAATAGAAGCGATAGCCAAGACAATTAAGGACCATCAAGGCAACACCGGAAGAAAATATTACATTTTCTCGGACTCGAGGGAAGCCATCCAGGAGTACAGGAGCCCAGCCACAACACTGAAAACGGTGCAAGAAACAAGTAAATACATCGATGAAGCCAAGAAAGCTGGCACGAGCTTTACGCTTGAGTGGGTCCCAGGGCATGCGGGGATCCAGGGCCACGACAGGGCGGAGCGGGAAGCGAAGGCGGCGCTCATACACCATTATAGCACCCTTAGTCAACTTCCCGCGGTAGACTCCATCGATTCCACGGACCCCTACGATTACCCACCAGACATCGCAAAACAAGTAAATAAAGAAAAAAGGAAAAAAAGGCTGGAAGCTCTAAGGCCAATACCCCCCGCCCTTCCAGATATGAGACTCAGCAGATGGCAAAGAGTATGTCTGAGAAGAATCATCTCGGAAGCTGCAAACACGCCTGAAACTCTCCACAGGAAAGGCATTATTAAATCTAGTGAATGCACATCCTGTGGGTTTACTGGACCAGCAGGACTAGAACACCTCATTTGGGACTGCCCAACATGGGAGAGGGCAAGAGCAAGGCACATCAAGCAAAACAAAATCAAGGACTTTAGGGACTGGTGCCAACCAGTCTTTAACTTTGAAGAGAGCGATCGCAATAGAGGTCTGGTCAAGAGCCTACTAGACTTCATTGCGACGACAGGAATCAGAAAGTTCCTCTGACCTAGTAACCCCTTAATTTCCCTTTCCTGGAAGGCTATCGGCTTCAGCCACGTGACTTTCTTTCTAATAAAAACGATTTTTCTATCTATCTATCTAATCCTTTTCTGACGTCATAGTCAGCGTTCGGCCAATCGTGGAAGGTCGACCACAGCGACGCTTTCGGTCGCGCACGTCGCCAATAAAGATCCAGTACAATTGCTCGCGCACTTGATGTCATCGAGTGCGCGTGCAATGGACCTTTTCCAAATACCGACAGCACCAGGCGGTGGCTGCACGAACTAAAAATCGAGGAAGTGACCTACCTGCGCTACCAATCGATAATGAGAGCTACGCTACCAGTTGCTTCGCTCTCTGAGCAGCGTCGCGTGCCCAACGCGACTTTAAAGAGGGAAATCCGTAGCGTCCACCCAAACGTCGTGTTTTTCTTTCCGTCCACTTTCCTCTTTTGTGTAACACAATTATATATATGCTGCAATTACGTGTTCTACTCGTCGATTTACAGCCTCATTCAGAATTTCCTAGATTTTTCGTGCCGACTTCCACCGCTTGGCATCGGGCGCTCGCGCGTGCGCAGAACGCTTCTCGGAAAAGGTCCATCGTACTGGATCTTTATACAACTATGGTGCCTGGAGCGCGTCTTCGACTGGTGTGTTTAGCGTCCTATCCCGCCCATACATCAAAAGTGGTCCCGATGTGGCAACAAATGACGCGAGTGTCATGCTGTTGCCTGTCGCGATCCTGGCGGTTGGCCGTGGAAATGCTGGCAAAAAGCACGAGCGAACGCAAGTGTCGCTGTCGTCACGGCGTCCCGTTAGGTGTCCCAACTTCCGGCTGCACCAGCTTCCGTGAACTGTCACAGTGGAAAGCGACCTGCAACAGAACAGGCATCTGCTTCATACACCATAACTGTTGGGACGCCACCAGGGTCGCGACCGGCGACAACATGACACTTCTATGACGTCATCAGGCGGAAATCGAGGGACCACTTTTTTGGCCGCGGTAAACACACCAGTCAAAGACGCGATCCAGGCACCATAATACAACCGCGTTCGCAACAGCTTTGCGGACGCGGATCCGCTTCCAGTGTGAATGAGCGGTTAGCGCGAGGAAAGCGAGGAGCGCGAGCGGACATTCCATCGCTCGAGAGAAGTGTCTTTCGGCGTCTCGCCGCAGCGAAGCGCCCGTCACGTGGCTCTCCTAAAGCCCCTTCAATGTTTTAAAAGTAGCGCAAGGTTCGTCGATGCAAGAGTCACGTGCAACGTGCAGCCCTTGGGAAGATCATGGCGGAACACCGCAGCACTGAGCTAGATTTCAGACGCCGTGTTCTTCCCAAAAGTGGCGCGTGGCACTTTTCCCAGGATCGAGGGGTTAGTGCACGTGCTACCCACGCAGTTATGCTTTCATTTTCATAGTGAATAGTAGTTTGGAATTGCACGTGCTCGCACCGGTTTCGATTTTCAATCTCGATCTTCAATTCTCTGATCAACCCATGTCCAAAAAAAAAAAAAAAAAAAACTATCTCACTGTCCACTAGGTTAACGGATGGCTGGCGCACGCACCCGAGTTTTCGTTTTTCTATATGGTAAGCTTCTCCTAACTCCCTCGATAGCTGATCTTCGTGTTTAAACAGCACGTTTGTGTCACAGAATCTTGGCTCACATCCACAATCCTTGCAGCAGATGGCTAAATGGGAGTACGCGCTAAATTTCAATGAACTGTGGTGTTCACGAAGACGAATGTTTAGGCAACGTCCCGTCTGACCTATATAAGAGTGACCGCAGGAGAACGGTATTTCATAAACGGTCCCATGTGCACAGGACACGAACTTCATGCCATGCTTGATGCGAGATTCATAAAGTTCTGGCTTACTTTTCCTGCCAGCACGCTTGTTAACCACGTTGATAATTCTGCTCAGTTTGTTTATTCTTGCTTACAGTCAGCGTTGACAAAAACCTGTTTTCATAAGATGGAAGAAAGCTTCTCAGCACCGATCGCTAGACTCAGAAACTCTAAATTTCCTGACTCTGTTATTACTTTAGCTTGTGACAACATGACTCGGTACATCAAGGTTGATTCCCGAAAACTTGACAAAGAAAAAGCAAAGATTGACAAAAAGAGCATCGCCGTTATACCTTATATCCATCGTCTTTCACACGGGTTAAAGGGAGTCGCTTCGAGGTATGGGGTCAACGTAATTTTTTAAGCGCGTAACAAACTGAGCAGGATCATAAACGTGGTTAACAAGCGTGTTGGCAGGAAAAGTGAGCCAGAACTTTTTGGATGTCGCGTCAAGCATGGCATGAAGTTCGTGTCCTGTGCACAGGGGACCGTTTATGAAATACCCTTCTTATGCGGTCACTCTTATATAGGTCAGACGGGGGCGTTGCCTAAACATTCGTCTTCGTGAACACCACAGTTCATTGAAATTTAGCGCGTACTCCCATTTAGCTGTCCACTGCAAGGATTGTGGATGTGAGCCAAGATTCTGTGACACAAACGTGCTGTTTAAACACAAAGATCAGCTTTTGAGGGAGTTAGTAGAAGCTTACCATATAGAAAAACGTAAACTCGGGTGCGTGAGCCAACCATCCGTTAACCTAGTGGACAGTGAGATAGTTTTTTTGGACATGGGTTGACCAGAGAATTGAAGATCGAGATTGAAAATCGAAGAAAGAAGAAAGGAGGAATAAGACGCGATGACTTATACCTGTTCTGGTGTGTTTTAATGTGCTGGTGTGTTTTAATTTGATATCATTATAATGTTGCGCGCTTAATGGCGAATGGCTGGTGGAAGAGGAAAGAGAATCAGTCCTCGCGTGAATTTCTATGTATGTCTTCTGAATAGATAGTTGGTAGTCAGCGCCTCGTTCTGTGTGTTCTCTTCTCCTTGTCCGTGTGTTATTCGCGCTGTTTTTTTTTTTATGGATTCACACCAACTAGCCCAACTTTCCATTCTATTAAAATAGCGTGTTCTTGTGCTGTGTTGACTTCCTTAAAGTGTGTGCTGGATGCCGCTGTGGACCCTTTCCTATCTGTCACAACCTCAACAACGGCCATCTCGAATCAGTGGTTTCTAAAAATAAGGGAACTTGCAGCTCAAGATCAATTGGTAATAGAAAACGAGCGTGTTGGTTAATAGATATGGATACATAAAATGATAACACATCAAGAACTGGGACGGAAACATAAATTCGCTTTTATTTAGCAACAACAATAAACGACATAAAACATAAAACCGCTCCCCAAAGGTTTCAACGTCCTCGGAAAAAAAAAAGGGGGGGGGGGGGGGGGGGGGGGGCGAAGGAAAGATAAAGGGGGAATTGGGGATGGAAAAGTAAATTTGCTATAGATTTAAAAGTTTTCAGCGCACTAGCGTCACGACGAGGTATCAGTAATTTATACCCGTTTTCACGTCAAGAACCGTAGTAAAAAATATCCGACCCCTCGCGGAGCATTACTAATTTCCACTTTTATGCGGAGAATTAAGACATATGTAGGTGAATTCTAGATTAAATATATGTTGTTGTCTTATGAAGACGTACACGTTCCCAACGCCAAAAGCATTTCTTTTTCCTCCGACAACCAAATCTCGTAAGAACTACTTCGCGCCGTGTATGAGCAATGCGCAAAACTTGATTTTCTCTTGAGGTCAAAACAGGTATAGTCATCTCTGGTGTTAGGTTGTGTTATTTTAATTTGTTGCTAAATGTGTGTTTCCATGCTGTTTCTGTATGAAAGAAGTTCCGTTTCCGTGCCCGTCCTCGATGTTTTGTCTTTTCATGTATTCAGATCAGCTGATCATTCCAAAACCGATGCACGCTAGCGGAGGATTCGCAGCGGATCTGACGGAGTCCGCAACAGACCATGCAAGCTATGCAAGTGTAGAAGAAGGCGCGGGAAGAACTGATCTCACGGATCTCTCAGATCTCACGGCGACGGTAGCGCCAAATACCATTGGTAGCGCCACTGTTTCGCCCGCTACCGCAGCGGCCCGCGCTCCTCCCAGTGAATGCCGCTCGAGTTCCTAAACTCAGAGCCGTATATGTAGAGAGTTTGGCCATTCTCTGGGAAGTATGGGAGACAAATCAGGAGGTTCCATTGGCCGAAAGCGGGCTGGGCGAGTTCCAGGGCGTCTTCACAAACTCTAATGAGGCCAACCAGAAGCCGGAAATAATACCCTAGTGGTGGTCGCGAGAAACAAACTTAATAATTGCATCGGAGTAACTCTCGGCGATTGAAAATATGGTGCACGTAATGTTTCAATCACGGTCATCCAAAATCATGGTGAAAGAGCGCCAATAGCGGGACAATCGGCATAATCCGTACGCCAGGCGCCGAGGGCCGGGAACCTGCCGTCCGAGCGGTCACACTCTGTCCGAGCAAAACAGACTTCGAGCGGCACATTCATTTCTTATATCTTTCCGCATGATCATGATCGAAACATCACGTGCACCCTTTTTTCAACCATGAAGGGTTACTACATTTAACTCTTAGGCGCTTATTAAAACCAGATACCTATAATTAAAACTGTTTCTCGCTACCACCACTAAGGGATTCTTTTCGGCTTCTGGTTGGCCGAGAGAGCATGTCAAGCCCTCTTTCTGCGTCTGGCGCCCTGGCTCTGCCCGCGCCTCCCATTGACCAAACTCTCTTCATGTACGGCTTTGCCTAAACTTAAAGCCCCTCTGTCCTGAGAAACGTGGCGCCATTCATTGCTGTAGACATGCTCGAAGCACGTGCCGCGCGCCAATTCTGGGAAATTCATGGCGTCGGAAATCCAGCTCAATGCTGCGCTGCACCGCCACGATCTTCCCAAGGGCTGCACGTTGCACGTGCCTCGTGCATCGACGCACCTTGCGCTACTTTTGAAACATGAAGGGGCCTTACCTAAACTGGCTTTCTCTAGAAACGTTGACCTACGGTTTCGTTTACGCGAGAACGCGTGCAAATGATCCGCGAGATCAAACCCCATGCTCGCGCCAGCAGCTTTAACAGCGTTGTACACTTAGTATGAAGCCACAGTATGAAACAGAGGCTCGTGCACGGAGAATGCGGGCCATTCGCTCGAGCGAGGGTGGTTATTCGGCACGGCTCGGTCGGAGTTTGGTGTTGGTCCCGGCTGACCCATGGCTTTCTTTTGGCCCGCAGCGAGCGGCGTGGCAGCAGCGATGCAGCAGGGGGGCAGCAGTCGAGCGACGGCCGGAAGACTGGCCAACGTTCCCCGGAAGCTGTGGAGGTCACGGGCCAAATCCCAGTCCAGGGTCTCTGCGCTCAGCGTCTGCACCTGGTCGCCCGAGGTCGGTAAAACCTCCACACGGTGGTGTGGCTCCGGGAAGAGAGAGCTTACATTACAGAAAGTTTCACACTCCTCGATCGGGGTTCGCATGGTTTGGGGGACGCGTTTGCAGTACATAGCTTGCAAGTGCCGCCATTGCTGGGGTGCTATGTTGCGCTTTTTGGACTCCCAGGAGACTAGGGAGAAGGAAGCGACGTCAACAACGCAGCAAATGCAGATTGGATGTTGATTTTGTTTTCTTCTGTCAACATCCAATCTGCGTTTGCTGTATCATTGACGTCACTTCCTTCTTCCAAGTCTCCTGGGAGTGCAAAAAGCGCAACATAGCCCCCCAGGGTACTGATGGTTATATCTGTAGGCGTGACGCCATTTCCTTGGACTTTTTTTGGAGCGCGTGCCCAGAACGATACTTGAGGGCAACTTTTTCTGGCTTTTCAGAAGAAGCGAACACCGCGCGTGCACAGCTTTGATCGGTGCTCAAGGTCCGGGAGCACGCGGGTACCCATAGCATCGGCTTCACTGCCTGCTAGGGAATGCAGGCGGATGCACGTTCAACACCCATTGCACACTCTCAGAATCGTTGCTCTTGGAAAACGATAAATGGGAGCTAGTTCTGAGCATGCGCTTTGATCAACGTCCCACAATATGGCGTCCCGTGAATACCCCTTATTTACTGGTTGCTTCGAACTATGACTTCTGCGGTGCATGTGAGACTAGCTCAGTGAACCGAACGCTCGTGGCACATAAAATGCCGGCACGGCCGCGAATGACGTCACATGCAAGCTACGCGTACGAGCTTGCACGTGAAGGTGGCAAAAGCGTGGATCGTCTGCAAACGTCTCAGCCTCTCCGCCTGCATTCCTCCTCGCCACGCGACAGATCAACGCATGCGCACTTGTGACCAATCTTCGCAGGAGGTGTCCGCCATTAAATTGCAAACGCTCCCCGTGGTCTGAGATGGGCCCTCTCCTTAATCTAGGCTCTCTATATATACTCCGCGACAACTTTTCTTGGCAATGCAGTGGAAGGTACAGGCCCGCGTCCCCTCTCCCATTCTGAGTGTACGAAGGCTCTCCTCCTCTCCCCGGAAATGGGGGAGGAGGAGAGCCTGCGTACGCTCAAAATGGGAGAGGGGACGCGGGCCTGTACCTTCCACTGCATTGCCAAGAAAAGTTGTCGTCGAGTATAGCTCCGGATTTGTACACTGTTGGCGCAAATAAGCGATAGCCAGTTCTTTCCCGTTTGTCTCAGAAAATTGAACAGCTGCCATGAAACCCACTGGACGCCATATTTTAGTGCGTTGTTCAGTGCGCATGTTCACCTTTACTGGTTGCTAAGACCGGCAATCTCCGTGGTGTCTAGTGCACAATGCAAACGAACCCTGGAAGCCCGCCGTCAACGCGAGTTCAGCAAGCCACGGACTTATATACCGTTCACTTTTAAGCCGAGACTAGAAGCTCCACCTTCAGCGTGAGCTCCCTTGCTTCCGGAGTTCTTTGGTTGCGAGTACCTGCGCGTTCGCACTTGTATTAGCAAGTGCAGAAAGTTCGCGCTGAAGGCGGAGCTTCTAGTCCCAGTTTAATTGTGAACGGATCCCTGTGGACGCCAGCGATTACCCCTCATAGCCGGGCCATCGCTGGCCCGACAAAGGGGCGTCCCTTGCTTGGCTCGCTCCAGTGCCCTCTCGTCCGGTCGCAGGGCAGCTGCCGGTGGCGATGCCGGACCGGCGGCCGCCTCACGCTGCGTCCCACGAGCCTGGTGGCCCTCACCGAGGCCGAGGCGGCGGGACTGCGGCCGCTGGCCATCAGCCGGCTTCAGGGCCTGGGCCTCGGCTGCAAGGTGGACACGCCGCGAGGTGAGCTCTTGGACCATGGGCCGCAGCCGGAGACTAAACCAATAGGCGAGCAATGCCACCTACAAGACAAGGCCTGTGCCCGCCCCTCCTTAAACGTCATTGATTCACGCTGAGCCTCCTACCTTGCCTCAGCATCGTCGCCATCGCTTCTTGTCGTGGTCTCTTGTCGAGCGTCGGCCTGTTTGCCGCTTGGGGCGGGTCGGGCTTCCACTAACGATGACGTCACGCTCAGGCCTTGCCTTATATACTCGTTGTCAGGTCAAGGAAAAAATGAACCTTTCCTCACTGCTCATGCGCTGCGGAAAGTAGTTCTTACAAGATTTGGTTGTCGAAAGAAGAAACGACGATTATGGCGCTTCAAAGGTACACGTCTTGATGAAATAACATAACGCTAATCTAAGATGTAGCTACAGATATCTTAATTCATGAAACGGCGTTCCACAAGACCCAGATTTTTTTTTTTTTTTTTTAATGAAACAAGACGCGAGCACGAAAGTAGTGTCTCCGCTAGCGCCCGCGAGACGCGACCAATTAATACTGTCGTGAAAAGCGCTGTCCCACGTGCATCGTTCTGCATTTTTGGTTGAACTCACTCACAGCCAGTTCAAAATTACAAAAAAAAAATAAAAACTCACTTTCCCTCGCCCTTACGAATACACTCACCTTCAAGTCCTTACTCACAAACTCAACGAACTCACGCCCCTCACCGAACTCATCAACTCACCGATTTCACAAACTCACGCCCCTCATCGAGCTCACTTCCTCACTCACTCACTCACCGACCTACCTCCACTCAGAACTTATTCTTCGCCCTCACCGTAGTCCCGACGCTGGCACTCGTGTTGCACGTGCGCTGCGCGGCTTTTACAACGCCGCCACGGTCACTGCCGTGTTCCGCCGCTCCGCAGCCAGCCATCACGTCGCCAAGTAAAAAAATGTTTTGTATTTTTGTTTGTTTCGCTTCGACACCTTTCGCACGCTGGCCGAGCGCTCGATGAAGGCGCGCATTGCTGGGATACAAGGCCGCATCATCGCGAGTCTCATGAAGTAGTCTTTAAATGGTCTGTTCGTTTCAAGCATTCGCGACAACTTCGTGCAAGTATGGAGTGAGCGTCTTCAGCGTTGGTTATTTAGGTGTGAAATATTATTATTTGGTCAACGCCGTGGGCATGCATTTTGTTTCTGCATAGATTAGTTTGTCTAACTTTAAAAAAAAAACAAAAAAAAAACGTTACCACCCTTCAAACAAATATTTTATTTTTCGCCATGCGATTTAATAGAATGTCAGGAGACTACCCAATTAATGTTTTGCTACAGAGTCACGTATATTTTTGATGAAGGCAAAAAACTCAACTGCTCGAAACCAAAACATGAGCACGGAGACTCATGGCCGCGGAATGTGGACGATGTGGACCGAGGAGGAGGGAGAATTGTGGTGGAGGAGAGAGTTGCCGGAAGTCACGTGGCTACACCCAACCGCGTTAAATTTTTCTTTTTTTACCTTTTTTTTTTTTTTTGCTTTTTTGGTCGTGTGAGGCAGACGACGACGTTGCGTGCACCATTCGTCGCGCGGACGTTTCGCGCTTATATCCGTTCCAGTCGCTGTTCTGTGCTTGAAGAACAATTTTCCGGTACCGCGAACGACATTTCCGAAGTAGCGGTCCCACGTCCGTCGTAACCATGGTCCGTCATGTGCTGCCATCGCGTCGTTGAGCCGCCGGTACGTCGCCATATTGAAAGTGACGTAGTCCATGCACTTCCTGTGATCTGTGCAACAATTGCAACAATGTGTTTTAACCAACAGCTTCTTGGAAGCCACAAAAATGAGTTATATATTCTTTTTTTTCATTTTTGATATTGCACGTGTCCCTTAGATGGCCCACTACTTTGACTATATATTTGGCACGTGTGTGAACGGCATGTGACTATGGAGAAGAGGGCGAGCGCTACTCAAACCGGCCAGCTCTTGACCGGCGATTTTAGGGAGGAAGAAAACCAATTTTTTGGCCGGAAATTGTGCTTTGGGCAGCTGGGCTCTCATATGTCATCTACCCTGTGAGTGTCCCTTTAATAATACACTCTTAGAAATAGTGGGTGCATAGGGGTACACCCCTTGTTCCACCCCAAAACTACATTTGCACGTTCAGTCCCCTGACGTCGAGCTGGCGATACCATCTTTTACGAGCGGTTTGATAGCTGTTGGATATAACGTACTAAATAGCTAATATCTGTATCAAAAAGGGACGGGCCCCCGTCGATCCGATGCAAATCCCTCGTTTTTTTTGTTTTTTTTTTTTTTTTTGACTGACGATTTTTGCTCGAAGGAGACCAAAGGGGATCGAAGGTAGCGAGTTACCAACTCTAAGAAAAAAAAGTCTTCCACTGTGGTGCCAGTGCAACTGCGGAATGGCACCTCCTCGTTTTCTTTCATACAGATCTGCACAGCCACCAGCAGTTGATCGAAGTGACAGAGTAAAATAAATCTGCAACATCTATATCTAAAAAAAAAACCTTTCGTCCACCTCAAGTTTCCACTGTGCAGAAGCTCAATTATTTCTTCCGACTGTCTGACAAGAAAAAAAATATCCCGCAGTTTTAATGAACGTTTGAAGAACTTCGTGCAAACCATGATATTGTATATATTAATTCTTTTTTTATCGCGCCTCTGATTTTCTGTTGCACAGCCCATACCAATTAAACCTAGAACGTTCTTATCCACCGACTTCGTGTTTCGTAAAATGTTATATATTTTATGGACCTTCATATAAAATCGCCATTAGCGTTAGATGCCTTCGGTAGTCGCGTTGCTCAGACAATGTGTGCTTGCGTTCAAGCTTGCCAATATGTTGAATCAGCGGCGTAGACTTTCCATTTTCCCGGGGGGGGGGCAGGCTGAGTTCTCCCGAGGGGGGGGGGGGGGGATGCTGCGCGTTATTTTTTTACCAGAACTGGAGATTGAAGCTAACGAAAACACGCTGGTATTCCATTTCCCATGTATTTTGTCAATAAAGGCCACGTGCGCGTTATTTTGTTTACATGCCGCGACTAGAAGCTCGTTACATGGCACGTAAACAGCGTCTCGGTAAGGATCATGACCCGGGCCCGGGGGAAGGGGGGGGGGGGGGGCTCTGCACCCTCCCCCCTTTTCCGATTTTATTAGGGGGGGGGCACGAGCCCTGTTGCCCCCCCCCCCCCCATAGTCTACACCTACGTGTTGAATACAAATATTTTCAAACTACATGTGCAAAATTGTGTGTTCGATTAAAATTATGTCTTAATTTCGTATGGGTGTTAATTTTTAATTTGTGTTCACTAATTTGTACGAATAAACTTCGACCTATTGGTTTAAACTGAATTTATTTTACCTTGAATAGAACGTAAAGGCGCAAGTGAGCTGGTGTATATCAAACATTTTTTGTGAAAAACCCGAGACTGAGGTATTGACGTCTGTCAATACCTCAGTCTCGGGTTTTTGACAAAAATCGTTTACCTTCAATATTTAAATTTTTTCACTTAACTACCGATGGCCTAATTCCGATATCCACGCAATATTTGAGAAGGGAAGAGGGCGCGGTCGTGTAGCTTAATTAAATGATGGATGTTTTTAGGTCAATTTGGCCGACCATGTCCGGTGGCAAATTTTAATTTTGACAAAAAAAAAGTATTTTGTTGGCTCAATGCCCATCAAAACAAAACCAACTTTTATCGTAAAAAAAAAAAAAGAATTCTTCGAAAGAAAAATTAGAAGCACAGTTTTAGCCCGAAGCGCTTTCTGCGGATTGAGCAAAGCTCTCATTTCGGGCACCTACCCCAAAACAACTGCTGCGTCTACTAGTCTAAAAATATTTAGTGACGAAATACGCAAATGAAGGGTTGATTCCAAGTATTTACTACGGAGTAACAACAACGCTAAATTGCAAAAGAAAAAATATATGTATATGTCGCAAACACGGTACATTGCGCGATTATGCTTTTTTTTTCCCCTTTCAAATTTACAAATGCTAAGATTTTTTAACTTTGCCGGCGTGTTGCCGCCCTGTATTTTGTTCATCTTTGCGCTAAATGCTGTTGTCCTGGTTAGCGGGACACTTTTACGAGAAACGCTCAAATAGGGCTATTTTACAAAATACGAATTACATTGAAATGAAACAGCAACAAAAAAACCATCCTCGATTTCTTTTTAACTCTTTCAATTTGAGTTTAGTGATATGTGCTAACAGAATCTGCAAAGACATGTCGCATTATTTTCGTGTCTTTCATGTTACAAAGCGAGAAATCTGTCCAAGTTGAGGCTATTGCAGTGCCGTACACACCCATAGTTGACGAGTTAATTGTTTTTACAGAACACAACTTGAAATTCTAGGGAGGGGTCAGAAAGACACACACATCGACAACGCTGAGGCGGACGGTGCTTTTCAAGTGAGAATTCTTAGTGCGTTTTTTGTACTATAGAGTTACAGAAATCGCGCATGGTCCAGCGCGATTGAGAAACGCTGTCATATCGCATCCTTCGCAAGCACTGTTTTCAATACCCGGCGTGTAGCGTGCTCCTATAGCGTTCCTGTGTACGCCACGTAAAGGGAGTATGGTTGCTTGCTACGATTCCACGCGCCAGTTTGACTCGTGACCTGAGGAGTGACTACTGCTCGCGGGGGATATCCGACACTATCCTAGAGGACCGGCTGCGTGGTAGAATAAGCATCCGACAGCATCACGGCTGCTCTGGCGTAATTTGTTGTCACCTCTGTATCACTTCCAACGCGTAGGTGGGGTAGGACGTTAAACACACCGGTCGAAGACGCGCTGCAGGCACCGCAACCCAACTGCAAGCAAGGGGTCGGTAAGTGCAGAGTCCCACTGGAGCGACAAACAGAAACAACCTACACCGACGAGTCTCGTGCACTTGCCGGATGCGCGCGAAGGTATCGTTGGCCGTAGCCTCCTCTATAGACCATTTGCTATATTAGCCAAGCATCAAGGAGAATGCAGGGATTGGTGTTCCACGCGCCACACGCGCACGCCTTCCCCGTATAAAAGATTCGAAGTAAATAACCAAAATAAAGCGTTGACGTGCAAATGGCATCTTGCGCGTGCAAGATGCCATTTGTTTTAGGTATTTTCTTTAGAAAAGTTACTACTGCTGAGGCCAGCACGCGTGGCGCGTGGAACACTAGTCCCTGCATTCTCCTTGATGCTTGGGTAATATAGCAATAGGTCTATTGGCGACGTGAGCGATCGAAAGTGTCGCTATGATCGGCATTCCACGATTGACTGAATGTTGACTATGACGTCAGCAAAGGGTTCTTCATATACGGAAATAAGAGTAATGTAAGAACTTCACTTTTGATTGTGTTGGATGTCTTGGTTTCAGAACGCAATGACTTCAAGCTTCCACCACGCTCATCACAAACACCATCGAATTTGTAGTTCGCATGACAATGACGTCACGAGAGGTAACCATAGGAGGGCGCTACCAAAACATCTCGCCGCCAATATCTCACAAAGCCTGGCAGTTCGACGACGAAGCCATAGAGTGCCCGGTCGCAGATTTGGAGCGCGAGGATCTGGTAGCTCAGAGCATGAAAAAGCCATTTCTTGGGGAATTTGGACGTGAGCGCACAGCTTTTGCAGCGGCGAGGACCCGAAACGCACTTGTTCGCTCGGGAGAAGTGCGTTTCGGCGTCTCTGCGCAGCGGGGCGCCAGTCACGTGGCTCTCCTCCCATCCGTTGTCTGCCGCTCCACCTTTTCCATTTCGGCGGCCGCTTCTCGTGGCGATCTGCCAGGCTTTGTTAGTATAGAGGAGGCTATGCTTGGGAAAAACTGCAGTCAGTCGTGCTTCCTTCACGAGGAGCGAGAGGGTGAAAGCCTGCCAAAGGTACATTCGCGTGCATGCTGCATGAGGCTCGTCGGTGTCGGTCGTTTCCGCCTGCAGTTCCGGTGGGACTCGGGCACAGCGGCGCAGACGGTCGACGAAACAGCGAATGGGTTCCCCTGAGAAGAGTGCTTCTCCGTTTCCTCTAAAGCTATGCTAGGAAGCAACAGTGTCAGGTACGCAGCTGCTCAGTCGAGTGTGTTATGCGTAGGTTTCTGGCTCTTTATCACCCAGACAAAAAATGCTGAGTCACTGAGTTGTGGACGCATGCGCGGCTTCTGATATTCCACAGAAGAGAACAAATTGCGCATGCTCAGAACGCCTTGCGCAGCCCAGTGGACAAAGATGGCAGCATGCAGAAGCCTTTTTTTATGGTTTACGGCGCCGTACGCGAACAATGAAGAAGTGAGATTTAACGGTGCTGGTTGCCACGCGACTCACCCCCCCCCCCCTTTTTTTTCGTTTCTTTTTTTATTTTTTGTTTTTGTTTCAGAGGACAGCTCCGAGACTTCAGCCAAGGTGCGCCGGCGGCCGGCCCTCCTGCGCAAAAAGGCCATCACCACGAGCTTCTTCGAGAGCCGCAAAGAAAGCGGTGAGCATGACACGCCGCCTTGACCGGTTAGAAGACAAGGCTGGTGCCATCCCTCCTCTGACGTCATCACTAGTGGATCCGCGCAACGCCGCCTCGCTCGCGTCAGCGTCGCCGCCAGCCACGCCAGCGCGTCTTTGCAGTGCCTCGGAACGAGCGCATCCAGAGACCCTAGATTGTAAAACTCAAGCCATGGAGACTGTTTACGACTTAACGAACGGCGGACGCCTCCTGCGCCGATTGGTCGCAAGTGCGCATGCATTGCTTTTTCGCGGGGCGAGGATGAAAGCGGACTGAAAGTTGGAGACGCTTGCAGACGATGCAACGCTATCGTTCCCTCCTCGCAGCTCATATTGCAAACGAGGGACACAAGCACGCGGTGACACCTGACGCAGGCGCCTGCGGCCGCTTTGCGGCTTATTCTCGTCGAGCTTTTGCGTGTTTGTCGCTTAGAGTAGGCCGTAGATCCACTAAAGATGACGTCATGCGCAGGCTTTCTTATCTATGCGACGCGCAAGTTCGTCTGCTTCCTGCAGAGGGGTGTCGATTATGTCAGAACGCCGAGCTCTTATTGGCTGATTGAAACAAAAATAGCGGATAGACCTCTAGGCATCTAGCTTCAAGGACTACCCACTATCCTTTCAATCAAAGCCAATGAGAGCTCGGCGTCGTTCTGACGTCACCGCCACTCCTGCGCGAAAAGCAGACGACTTGCTCTTCGCATACTCTGTTCGCCCTTGAGCTTACGATGCGAGGGAAGCTACGTGTTCGATGGACCAGCATAACGCCACACTTCCGACACGTCATCCCATTCCCGCCCATATTCATCTGCAGGGAGAGGGGTCAGCCAACACCACCTAGAATAATGAAAGCCTCCACATGGCGTCCTCTCCCTCTATGAAACGTCATCAGAGTCGGATCGCGCTAACTCGGCTATTGGACCCGAGCCCGACCTTCGACGCGCTGATTGGACACGAGCCCCGGCCGAACACTGACGCAGCACTCGTGCCTAATCTCAGGCCTCGATCGATCTGACTGTGATGATGGTGCGGGGGCCTTCTGTCTAGTTGGTGTTGGCTCAGCTAGCTGATAAAAGGGAGGCGGTTGGTCGGTCCGGAGGGCGTGTAGCTCCCAGCGCACTGCCATCCCGGCGGATGTTGAACCGCGGTCTCTCCCTCGCAGACATTCCATCGGGGCAGGTGTTCGGGGTGCCGCTGCAGCAGGTCCTGCAGAGCGACCAGCAGCGCTTCCCCGACGCCACCCTGGCTGACCCGGACTGGGCGGCGCCCGACTGGGGCTCGGACGCCGCGGCCGCGGCCGCCGACGCCTTGTCCAGGCGCTCGGACGACGCCAGCGAGAGCTCCGTCTCGTCCCTCGTCGACCTGGCTTCGCCGGACCTTAGGAAGGTACGCCTCTCTTCTGCAGTCATGGCGAGCTGGAGCGGGCTCCAGCCGGGACACGTTCCAACATAAATGCAATATTTCCCTGCTATTAGCGGCCATCTAGCCGATCCTAAATCAACAGTGAAGCGGTAGGTAGCGCGACGTAGCGGGTCTCCAAGGACAAATAAATGATGATGATGATGACCATATGAAGGACCTGGGTCGGCTTGCTGGAAACAGCGTTTCAGCTAAGACTGGGAGAAAGAAAGCTCTGCCAAAACCAGCGCAAGAGCTGAGCGGGACTCAAGTCACTCCCACGCCCCAGCCTTTGCAGTGCTTTCTTTCACCCAATCTCAGCTGAGACGCTGTTCTAGCAAGCCGGCCCAGGAGTCTCTAATCGCCGCCAGAGCACAGATTCTCGGAGTTTTCTCATGGGGTCTGCCGTCAGTGTTTATTAAGGCGAAAATATTATATGTCTCATCGTTCAGTCGACCTTGACGGTCCTTAAGCGAAAACACGTCGGCGACATGAAAAGCACGAAAACACGTCGGCAACACGAAAAGTACCAAAACCCACGGTTTGCCACTGGACCACGAGGTGGCGTTACTTGTGCCAGAATATAGGCGGAGGCGCGCGCGGAGCAAACCCAGCGGGTGAAGACCGGGCGTGCGGCATGCCATGAGATTAACGGCGCCAAAAGTGCGTCGTCAGAGGGCGCGCTGTCTTCGGAGGTTCGCTATTACCAGGATCGGTGCTTGGGCTTTCGCCTTCAAGTCGTCTTAGGGATAACCTAAGAGACCCTGTGAATTTTTTATTGATTGATTTGTACCCACGGGGCCTGGAGGCATTACAGGGGGGGGGGGGGGGTGATTATAGCATACAAAGAAGCGAACAAAACAAGAAAATCATGAACAACTCCTAATAGTACGGTTACAGCATTTTCTTTTGTCAATCGGATCGAGAATAGTGGTGAAGATGTGGGAAGGTGAATTCAGTCAACAGAAGTCCGAAGTATATAGATTATTTAAAGTAGGCGTTAATGACACTGCTGTATAATAACGGCTTCATGTAGGTTATCGTTGCGTGATGACATGTCGAATGGTCTCAGTGTCTGAATCGTCCCAAAAGCTAGATCTCGAAGCTCACTCAAGACCGCCCAGCGGCGAGAGCACGCGCTAAAAACCGCGACAGTAAAACTTGCATCGAAGGAGCTGCCACTCTAGAAATCTGTAATTGATGGTGAGCACTGCCCTCCTCCCGAGTCATATCGAATATCACAGCCAGGATAATGTTGTGCTCAAGCAATACCTGGCAGAAGACAAGACCGGTGCATTACGTCATCGTTAGAAGTCAAGCCCGTGCAATTTCAAGCTTGCGCAAAGGTATGTTTACGCGCAAGCTGCTCGTGTTTGCACTCCAACCAGTCAGGGTACTATGCTTGCAATTGTCTGTGCAGAGCGCAAGTCGTCTGCTTCTTTTGCAGGGGTTGAGGTGACGTCAGAGCACCGAGCTCTGATTGGTTCTGAATGAAGGATAGAGGGTGGACCTCAAGGCAGCTTGCTTTGATGTCTACGCACTATCCTTCAATCAGAGCCAATCAGAACTCGGCGTCTTTCTGACGTCACCGCAACTCCTGCAAAAGAAGCAGACGACTTGCTCTACGCATAAGCCTCCTGAGTTGCCATGGGAACGCTGCGAAAAGGGACTCGTTAGGACTTCTTTTGGGTAGTACAAACTTGAGCGTCTCAAACTGTCACACATGTAGAAGCCATGCCTGCTCAGGGCCCGTTTGCTCGAAGCTGGTTAACTCTAACCGCGGTTAGAAGTTAACCGCGTTTCCCTACGAGGGGAGAATTTCAGGTCACGTGACCGGCAGAGTAGCGGGGAAACATGGCGGTGCCCCGGTGAGTGAGCGCCGCTCGCTTTGGAACTAATATGTCGTTGCAGCTGCAATATCGGGCGCGTTAGTAAGCAATGAATGGGTCAGGAGGCTTTCGCTTTGCCTTACCTCACTTGAACCGCAAAGCATGAGCAACGACCTCGCCGCATTTTTTAGATAGTCTTTCGATTCTGGCCATTCCTAAGCCTAAATGAACGCGATAACTGTCGGCATGGCAACGTCTTCGGAAAGTGGATTGCCTTGACTCAATCGGCCGGGCATTGATAGCACGCAGAAGCAAACAGGGCACGCGATGCACGTGCTGGCGTCTGCAGTAGTAACTGTTCTAAAGCAAAAAGCCTAAAACAAATTTCGCCTTGCACGCACGTTCGTCAAAGCCTTATTATGATTATTTACTTCAAATCTTTTATATGGGGAAGGCCAGCGCGCGCGAATCGTAGAATTATACTTCCAGCGTTCTCCTCGATGCTTGGGTAATTTACTAGTAGGTCTATTTTCACTGCAGCCGAATTACAGGTTTTTCAATTTATGATGGTGTTATAGACAATACTTACATGCTGGCCAACCATGCTGCCGGTGTATCGCCCGCCTTTCACTGCTCACTTCTTCCTTATTGACTGAACTTCGTCGTCCTCTTTCAAACTTGGAAGGGAATTTCAAAGAGATATGTCTTCAACTCAAATAGCCAAGTATTTAGAAACTTTCCGAACAAGGGTTAATTTAGTTTTACCTTACCCAATATTTGTACCACAAGCAACAAAAAAGTATTTGGTCACGTGATGAAAGGGTTGATTGGTGGGGCGAGCGCGGGAACTCGTTGCACTGCAGTGTCAGCTCTGGGGCGAAGGGAATATGTACCATGTAGTCGGCGACAGACAGGTTGAGGATCATGTAGACGTTCCGCCTCGAGCGCCAGCTTTCTGCCTTTGATAACACTTCGGCGCACGCGCAGCCCAAATTCGGCGGCCTCAATGTTTGTACGGCCTTACTGCTCTGGCTAAATGTATCGTCTACCAAGGACACGTAGGACGTTCCGCTCTTTAAACACTACACTGTTCGCATGCGCACGTTGTGTTTAGTCTACAGATAACTTACCATCAACGTCTATTTTTAAATATGCTCACTCGGGAACTGGTATTCCCCTATTTTTAAACCCTTACTCATAAAAAAAAGAAGAAAAAAAATTTGTTTTTTGATGATAAGTAGAATACGAACTGTGACATTCGAAACCATGAAGTTCATGGCTGATATATAAACAACTAGGCAGCTTGTTTTATATTATGTTTTTTTTTTTGCGTTACGTTTTTTTTTTGTTTTTTTTTTATATATGGGAGTTTTTTCCGAGCGAGGATTTTTGTCTTCTTTTTTTGTTTCAAATAAAAAGCTGTTTTTAAATTGGCTACCACTACAAACTGTGTGTCCCTCCTCGGAATTCGAATGGATTTATGCCCCTAAAAAAAAGGGGGGGGGGGGGGGGGGTGCTGCTCGTGCATGCAGCGTCTATGAGCATTTCCGTAACTGAGGTAATCTAATAACGTTGGTTTTGCCCGAACGCTTTACGAATTTTTCGTTACACGATGCCCATGCAGCCATCATGCTCAAGCCGGTAGTTTCGGTTTCGCTGCAGACCCCCGAAACAAAACTTTGACATAAGACATCTAATATACCACACAAGGCGTCGATAAAGAAAAAAGAAATACATTACACGTCGCCGTTCATGGATAGTTCCTTCACTAAGAGCAGTCGTGAGACTAAAATCGTGGAAATGTACCGAAGTTAGCTTCTTCTGAAGCGTGCGTGTTGCTTGGTTACTTTCTGACTCTTGAGCACCATGAAGCTTATAAATAGCGGTTTTCTCCACTCTAGGAACATTGGTTAATAATACGTCCCGCTGCTCGCGAATCGCTGCCGATCCCCCGTTTGGCGAGATGTACTGAATTTATGGACTGATAAAGCGTAATACCGCCTACAGTGCCTGACAGCGCCGGGTGTGTCGAGTCCAGAACATTATCGCTCCATGACCACTGATATTGCGCCAATGACCGATAAGAATGTCGATAAGAGTGTACATGCCAAGGCATCAATTTCGTTCATTTTGCTTACAACCAAACGCCGGTAAGACTCCTTCCAGCTTGTTGAAGAGCTGTAGCGCTGCATGGGTCTGGGTTGAAGTGCGGACGTGTGTCTTGCCGACCGGGCGTGGCGGGTCCGTCGTCCGAGCAGACGGTTCCTCTTTTCGGCGTCCTCGAGACGCGTCACTCTGGGGCCGCGGCAAAGTTTTCTGGAAAGTTGCCCAGGGTACTCGAGTTTCTTGGTCGAGACTACAGCTGAATTTTGGCGGAAAGGGGCGCCTTTAGGGTGACTTCATGTGCGCTGTGCTTAGGGTGATGACATCTGACCATTTTGTTCCCGATGTTGTTGTTTCTTTTTTCTTACGGCACGAGCTGTTGGCATTGACAGTGCTACGACAACATTTTGTTACCGGCTTTTTTTTTTGTTTGTATTTTCCTCGAGAGCGCGTGTTGTCGGCGTCGCGTACCTGGCATCACCCTAAACAAAAGAACATCGAGCCACCCTAGTGCGCTTTTGAAACACACTCGACCAAGGAAAAGGTAGACCTAAGACCTAAAGCTACAAAACAAGCATAGTGTTTCTATGCACGTTTGACCTCCGCTCTAGCAGCGCCAGTTACTGCTTTAACTTTATACTAAGTAGTTTTCATTCACTTGAGTGTTCACAGTTATCAGCTAAACCAAGCACTACACAGAACCTCTTGTAAGACGCTTCAAATGATAAAGGTACACTATTTACATTAGAGTGCAATGATTTGTTATGCTGTTTAGATAAAATAATTCAGGCACTCAAACGCGAGTAGATCGAGCACTGTACATTTAACACTAAAGGCGTCACAATAAAGTATCGAAACTGAACTCCTTTCTGGAAGAAACTTCCAGCTACTGCGGACGTTAGGGATTGCAGAAGAGCGCACTATTTGGCAAAATAATTACCTACAATGTACTATTCACCTTTTTGAATTAGTGAAAATAAACATAGGGTTCCAATTAGAAACGTGGTGAGCGTGGTCGAAAACTTTTAAATCAGTCAATTTTAGGAGGACTCGAAG